AACAGCAACAGCTTAATAGTTATCCTGAAACAGAGTTAACAGATCTTGGACACAGCTTCCAAATTAGAGGAATCTTGCATACCATTAACTAGCTTAGTCTACCTTTAAAGCACTTCCCACTAGATAACACTGAAGATTTGAAGTTGTTAAGAATGCCAGAAAAGATTCTTCTTAAAAGCTGCAAGTTAGCATACTGACATAATCCTGTATCAAAGAGGACAGATTAGAAATAAAAAGGCTCTTTAAGAAGATGGGAATAGCAGTAACAATAGCAATAGAAAGATATTCTTTAAGAGAGATTTAAAAAAATTACATTCTACTCTTTACAGTTTACTATGGTGAACAGGAAACAGGATATGACAAGTAAGAACACCAGAGGGACAGAAAAAAAAAAAAAAAAATCTAAGCTTTCTAATACAGGAAGAACTGAACATAAAACAGAGTTTCAGTGTCATACAGAACATAGATAACCACTGAATTCAGACAAGATTTGAGAACGAAGATCCAATAGTATTTACAGAATGATCAGACATTTACACAGCTAACAGCTAGCAACAGAATTTCAATTTTGAAAAATAAAGCAAGATCTCTGGAAGACACTTCTGAAACTTAGAAACTGACCTAGGAAGGTGCTACCCTCACGTGTTGTACCCCCACACCTTACTGAATGTTGCTCGTTCTTAACCAGTATGGACTGCTGTTAAATTTATTTTGCATGCTGTATTACTCTGGTAATTCATATTTTTCACCTAGAGAAATGTTTTAAACCCACTGATGACTGAAAATTCCCAAAAGGCTGAACACACATCTGCAAGCCCACCAGTTGTTAAAGTATACATTCGGTAATGTTAGGTGTAACCTTGCAGAACATACCCAATGGAGCAATTAAATTGGATTTAAATTTAACTAAGTATATAGTTGCAGATGTATTTCAATCTAATACACTTCAGGCAACACAGTCCCAACCCCCAGATCCCCTTTACCTATCTGACCCTGCTTCTACACTGTGCCAGCAAACAAACTTTCCACAGCAGTGTGACAACCTAGATCAGGGACCTGATATGAAGTTATTTTGTGTTGTAGTTGTTTACTTTTCAGACAATTTTCTGCAATACTTCAGACTGAAGCCATGTAAATGGCTCTACCAACACAGCTGAGGGGACTGTGAAGGAAAAAGCAGCTACAGAATACAATTATTTAAGCCAATTTTGACACTAAGCATATACGAAGAACCTCATGGGCACCCTTATAAAGGAAAGAAGTGATTTGCCATAGTGCCAAGGACAAAGAAATTAGATACTTCAGATCTCCTCCAGTTTTAGATGAACCTCTGACATGATCTGATCTCTTTGCTTGAACACTGGAAATCAAAACACCACAGTCAAGAGACTAAGATGAAAGCAAAATGCTAAAACTTCACAGAACTTCAGACAGTGAGGTATGGTACATGTTGCATATGCCATCATTGACATTCAACTCCTTCCTATTCATTTTTCCTCTTGCTCATTTCTACTCTCCCTAACACACAATTTTCATTGTTTCTACATAAATCACACAAGGATTTGAGATCTCCTAGCATCCACTCATTATATAGAAGGCATCATTGTAACAGGCATACTTTTGGGAGACATGCAAAACAGACTGGATAGGCACAAAATGCAAGACTAGCATCAAATTTTCATCTGCATTCCCTTCTTGTTATAGCTCAGGCATACTGGTAAGCCAACATAACAAAGACCATTCTAAAAATCCATAATAGCTTCTGTCCAAAGACTGAAGAATATGGCTTGTCAATATATCTTTAAAAGAACCTGGGTAACAAAACAGATCAATAACTACATGACTCATCACCTAACACTCACATCTGAACTAGGATTCCCAGTCTTCACTGCGTGCACAATAGTTTGTGCACCAGGTTTCCAGACGTGTGTGAAAAAGAAATGGTACAAGCCATTGATCCAGTAACAGGAATCAAAATTCATGTAAATATGTTCAGAAAACAACAAAAGAAAATGTAGAGTCTGAAATTCAGGTGTTTATATCAAGATGTGCTACAAGAATGGTCAGATTCTCATCAGTATTATTAAGAATATAGTTATTTCTTCTTAAAAGCAATCTCACATTTTATTTATAGATCTTTTGTTTGATTAATGGGAACTACTTGCAGTCCATAACAGATGTCCACAGGATGTTTTGTTTCCTCTTACTTTTTCCTCTCTGGAAGGCAGCCAGCCACGATTATCTTGGTTGTCACTGCACAGCCAGACATCAAAATACACTCCCCTTTTCTTGCATGTGGTCTACTATATCAACACCAAACTAGCATCAGGTAGCATGAGGGGCAGGCCTAGTGTTACACCGCCTCCTATGGACACAGGCAGGACCACAAGACACCATAACACTAACGCAGCCTGCAAAGCAGGACACATTGTCCAAGCCTAGCATTCACACCCTATAAGCCTCTAGGTCAACTGTCATCAGTGAGAGCTGTAAACCTGACATCATATGTGCAGCAACTTGAAAGGCCACTTTCAAAATGAAGACCCGATATTTGGTTAGTCTATTCATCAAGCTCTGACAGCCCCACTGAATTAAATTCAAAGAGCTGGCTACAAAGACAACATATTCTACTATAATTTAACAATATGTGACATTCACAACACAAAGTTCTGAGCTTCTCAGAAAAGCCTGCAAACAAAGGGAAAAAAAAAAAAATTAAGTCACCACGACAAGCCCATGCAAGTCTTCCAATGGAGCTTATAAATATAATTCTATTATTTCATGTATGACTCTTTGCAAATCACTCAATGCCAGCTATAAGCATTACACCACTACTCTATGACTCAGCAAGAGAATCTGGACACACAAAGAAAATTCAGTTACTAAAGTAAGTGGCAAAGATTTTTAAAAGCCAGCAATTACAACAATGCCACAGAAAGCGATCCAAGATGACTTGTGTCTGTGTTCCTTGTATGTTTAAACATACAAAATTAGATTAGAATGTCAAACCCATTTATATATTGGCTAGAGTTTGAAAGCAACTAAAACAATGCTTAGTGCAGCTGAGCCAGAATACAAAGGATTAAATAGCTTTTTTTTCCCCATCTCCAATGAACAAAATCAAACACTGGCTGTACATTCTACACAAAATACTGAACTCTATTTGCAAGATTACTTGTATGCAGTCTAACTATGTCAGCCACCTAAATCTGAATAAAAAAGAAAGCGAACTGCAGCTTCATGTTGTAACTAAAGATACAAGCTTTAGTCCCCAAGACAGTCATTGCAGGTTTACATGTAAGCATGAACAGATAGTAATGTTTACACATTATTTGATACAGCAAAGTAGCAAGTTCTTTAATGGCAAAATTATGCTTTGGTCCATCAACTAGGACTAGAATTAAATTATTCCACCAAGGAAGAAAACATCACAAGCCATGACTTACCAATACATTACCTTCATTCAGATGTTCTGCAAATTAAGTACTCAGACCTTGCCTTTCAAACATGGTCCACAGCGTCTGTTCATTACTAAAAGATACTTGCTCAAAAAATAATCTCTATAGAATTAATTCTGTTCTGGTGGCAGCAGACTGTTAGTCAACAAAGTGAGGAAGGGAGAAATGAAGAAGAAATATTTCTGTTGATTTCTTCAGAAAAAGGTTTAAATAAAGAAGAATCTAACCTCACTGGATCTGAAAAGGAATTAGTCTCCCTTCACCTCCCCATTTAAAGCAGCATGTTAATACGGAACTAGAATGAAAGCTGTCCACGATATATATATTTGAAATGATAAAGGAGACTATTAGAATACTGCTCCTTTTTTCCCAATATCCTTAAGACAAAAAGGGTAAAGCTTTAACTCATCAAGCTTCAAATGCCTCAAAAAAAGATATGAAAATAAAAATTTTTTATCCGAGTTTCTGATTTTATTTTCTCCATTTCTAAATGAAAACAGAGCATGCAGTATGTGGTAAAACCTGAGGTGACCACATGCCAACAGTGTATCTGCCAAACACTTTAAATTTGCGTGTTACATTACACTGCTTTGGAGCAAAGTCTCAAGCGAAGCTATATTCCCTAAGCTAAATTCTCACACAAATAAAGTACCATTGTATCAACAGGTGTTTTATTACCTTACTATCATATTTTATGTTAGCACTTGAAATGTGTATCATCTTTCATCCAACGGCCTTAAATGGGATGGCAGGGCAGAGCAAGTAGAAACACGAACCAAGAGCAAAGCACCATCCCACCGGCAGCAGGAATATTCCAGAGGCACAAACATGCTCATCACTTACAAAGCTCTCCAAGTTTTCCTCCAGGAACACCTGTACGAAGATGAGCAGGACGCAACCTCACACATTCCAGGGAGGCAGCAATCGCAAAGCCGCAGCACCTCCGAGGGACGGGCTGAACGGCCGGGCACACAAGCGGGACCCCACAGCCCACGGTGAGCGACCGCGGCCGCTCTCGCACAGCCGAATACGGGAGGAGCACCGCAGCACTGGCAACACAAATCCTGCACCGGCTCCTGCGTGAGGCGACTCCAACAAAACCCCGAGGGCTCCGCGGGGAGCGGCGCCGAGGCCACAGTGGAAGGGGCGTCCAGGCAGGACCCGACAGCTAGAAGCGGCCGAAGCGAAAACCACTGTCAGTGCTCAAGGCCCGCGAGAACCTTGAGAGCCGGGCCCGAGCCCCCGGGAGCGGCAGGAGGGGAAGGGCCGCTCCCCTCGGCGGGAGGCCTTGCGGGGCGGTGGGGGCCTGCACCTTAGTCCTGCTGCAGCGACTCCGCTACCGGGTACGAGGTATGGGGCTGGGGCAGGAGGAGTCAGCCGCAGCCGGCACGGAGCACTGCCAGCCCGGCGGGCGCGCACCCAGCCCCTGCCCAGGGCACCCCGCCACTGACGGTCTCGCCCGCTCCTCTCTGCCATCATGACAAGGAGCCCGGCCCGCCCTACCAGCCCACACTGACCGCGCAGCTCCCCGCAGCGCCTCACCTCCGGCAGCCACTCGCCGCCGCCATACCGCCGGCTCAGCACCACCCGCTCCTTTCCAATCTTAGTCCCTCTTCGGCCGCCGCCATTTTGATCGCGAGCCCCAACCTCGGCCTGGCAGGAGTACCGAGCACCGCGCTTGCGCAGGACTGCTGCAGCTACCGGGACACGTGGTGTGTGGGGGCGGGGCGGGGCGGGGCGGGGGCGGGCTGCGCCTGAGGGGCGCTACCCCCCATGTGGGGGTGCGCAGGGCCTCGGTTAGCGGAAGGAGGCGGCTCTGAAGGAGATAGGTGTCCTCGCTTCTCGCGGCTAAGGCGTGCGAGGGCACCCGTGCCTCAACGGAGCACGCGCCGAGGGCTGAGGAGGCTCGGCCAAGCCACCAGCAGGTGTTACTCTGGGAGCATTCACGGTTTCCAGTCATCCCGTGTCGTGGGGGGGCTCGCCCTGCAACCTGCAAGATGGATGGTGGGCCAGTGCCGATGGCCTAGGCGAGCTTGGCGAGGCGCCCACCCGCAGGCCTGGCGTCAGGGAGAGCTGAGGCCGGACCAGGTGTACCCTGCCGCCGGCCCCCGTGCCACGCGCGTGTATTCTGGTTGCTTTGTGTGATGTGTCTCACAAGCTTGTTACACCCAGGCACTGAGGTGTCTGCAAGGCAAGCTGTTTGTCAGCACGGGTTCTTTGTCTCTGAGACTTCCCTAAGCTGCTTACGTTAAGCATTTATTCAGCTGCTTGCTTTTCCAAACTGCTGTGAGCTTGTTAACAGACAGTCAGGGTCCAGCATTAAGTGTTCATGCTGGGAATATATACTGTTCACCTGGAAATAAACTCCACTGCCTTCCCCATGTCCAACAACCTCTCTCAGTATCAGAAATTACTGTTTCATACATCTAGATGGACAGAGGTGCCAGCAGTAAAAATGCTTGTAGCTTTTCCCACCATTGCTGGTACCATTCCTGCTATATTTTCTCCAAAGAAAGGTGCCTGTGGATACAGTTAGGATCAGAATATAACAGCCATTCAGTCTATAAGCTTGCTGTTTTCTAAATCGGAGAAAGTGGCTAAAAATGCATGTCAACATTTCATTAGAAAAATAAAACTACTTATATAAACCTACTTGTGCTGTGTGACAGAACTAAGCACCATGTGTCTACGTGTGAGAAGGTCTGAGAAAAGGGTTTCATGCACAGGCCAAAAGTCTAATGAATTCACATGGCAGAAAATACTCAGTAAGCTGAAAGCCACATCTGTGATCTTGGTTGGTAAAGGTGAGCTACAACTGATTATATCCCCTCCTGACTTGCTGACAGTCCATTTCTGGAGGGAAGCCTTCCTCCCACTTGGCACTGCGCTGTGCTCCAAGCATCTTTCTAATTAACTTGCCTGAATGCAGCAGACTTCCCTAAGTACTACTTGGCATAACATCCCATAATGCTGAGCAGCTTACCAAGAAGCTAGGAAAAAACAGCTTTCAGTATATTTGCCTGTGCTGTAGACTGTTTTCGTACTGGTTTCAGCCTATGAATGGAAGAGAAACACTGTGAGTTGAGCTGATGGACAGTATTTTGTACACCTTGGGGGTTTTAACCAGTTTAGTTATTTGTATACTCTCCATTATTATAGAATCTGAGAGAACCACAACCTTTGACTTCCACACCCACAGTGAGATGAGGGAATTTTTGTAATTGCAATTTAATAGATGAAGTTTGCACTGTCGGGGTTATGCTTGTATCTATTCAAGGGAGGCTATGCTCTGTAAATAATACGTCTTTGCAAGCTGTTGTTGCTGCTGTCAGGACAGCTAATAAAACTGGCAGGCAGAGCTTAGCCTCTTTGAGCTGCTGCCCACTAGAGCCTCCCCATCTCCTGTTTCTGTCTCTTTTCTTGTGCCCAGTTTCCATTCCCTGCTATTAGGAACCAAGATCGTGGAATATGACAGAATATACAGTGTTCAGCTTAGTTTTATTTTACCCTGGTTTTCTGTATAAATGTGATATATATGATCATATTGCCTGCTTATACATATATGGGTTTAGGTCTAGGATTTCTATGTTAATTCTTTTTTTTTTTGACTCATTGATCTGTTTCTCCTTTGGGTCCTTTTAGATGTTGTAACTACAGAAAAGGCTTCATTTGTCTTGGCCATCAAAGGTAAGCAACCAACAGATACAAAACTATAGGAAACTAAACTGCAGTAGTTGTAATGTGCATTGAATTGTTAATTTAAATATATCTATTAGGAGAAATGGTTGCAGCCGAGGGGCTTAAATATCAACAGTGTGAGACAACCCCTGCCTCTGTATGTCATTCGTGATTTATAATACCATTGTTACAATTTTAGCAGTGGCTTGCTGCGACCAGCATAGAAATAAGAACCAGTTAAAGTTAAATAAGTAAGATTCATGTTACAAAACTCTTAGACTGAGGGGAAATAGTATGCCTGCTTGGTTTTCAGGTGACGGGAGCTAGTTACGTATTTGTTGCCAAAGTTCTGTAGGTAGTTGAAAAAATCCATTCCTCCCTCCAGCAAGCCTGCCTCATGTCTTACAGGTAGTGAAAATGAAAAGGGAAAGCAAAGAAGTCTTGCAGGCTGAATGTTTGCTTCGTTGGTGATTTTTATATTCTAATATAAACCAGACTGTAGTCAAAATGGTTGATGAGATCGTAGTGCCAAGATCTTGCTTTTCAATAATCGCCCTTTTAGTAGCTAAAATAAACCTTGTTTCTTATGGCTCAGACAAATAACTCTGGGAGATATCTGGCCAGTTGGAAGTGAGGAAGGCTACCATGTGCTTTTGCTTTAGACTTTTTAAAGCATAGAGGTCACCCCCCTTGACTGCAGCACAATGTCATTATCTTCAACGACTGCGCGGTCTCATGGGCTAGACAGCTGGTAAGTCCACCAAAAGTAAGCTGACCAGCTCCTCCTGCCACACAGTGCAGAAGACGGGTTATAAAACATTGAGTTACAGACCTTGCTGTGGAGGAGTGGGAAATGGAAGCTAATTGCATTTACATGCAGGTGAATGTGCTTTCTGAGATGAGAGGATAGGAGTTTCACACCATCTGACAAACACCCCCGGAGCATGTGCATACACATCACTTCCCTGATCACCTAATTATAATCTTCACACCATGCTCTCAGAAATAAATTGTTCTTCCATTTTTAGCAGAATTGAGATACATTTGGTTTGGTCTATTTAAAATAATCTTTTGATGTCCTAATGAGCAAAATCTTGCATATGCCTTAAATATTGTAAAATATCATCTCCTCTTTAGAACAAAGTGCAGAATGAAATACTGAGCCACACAACAATTATCAGTGCCTCTGCTCGTATGGAATGACGTAATGCTTTATTCATGTTTTTGCAGGGACTTACTGATGGTAATCACTGTACATACACATTGCATTTTATCTCCAAATTCAAGAGTGTTAGTAGAAAAAATGGATTATGTGCCACCACTTACTAAAAATAAAAACAACCCAAATGTCTGTTATTGTTCATTTACCCTTATTTGCACTAGGAAGCTCAAGCTTTGAAGTGCCCTCTGGGTATTTATCAGGGTATATTGAAAAGAAAATACACTTGGAAGAAAAGCCCCAACAGTTCACTTCCCTTGATTCATTTTTTGTCCACGATTCATTCCTTAGACTTTTGGATGCTTCATTTGCTTTTCATTCCAAATGTGAACTGTTTATTATTATTAATGATGTTTCTGTGTTGATGTGTTGTGTGGAGGCCCTAATCAAAACTGTCCTGCTGTGCTGGATGGTGTGCCAAACTCAGATTACAGTACATGCTCTAGAGAATTTACAGATTAACTGGAGGGTGTGATTATGCAAGGTGCAGAAAGCCTTTTGCAAACTAGTGAGAAAACTGGATGTGCATCATTTACAGTGATAGGGTCACACCACATGATGCAGAAAGTGCTTGCACCCCTGAGTGCCTGCTACAGAAATAATGTCAGCTGTATTGGTTAGAGAATGGGATTCTGTTTTGAATGTAAGCAGCACCTTTTTATTTATGACCATCTGAAGCGTGACTTTGTAGCATTACAGATCAAATCCTTAAAGTCCAATTTATCCCAACTGTTTTTTAGTGGGTATATTTCAATTCAATTTTATGGCACGCAGGGCAGTAAATCATGGCTAAAGAAAAGCTTAGAATGCTTTATTATTGTCCTGGGTTCAGCAGTAGCATTCATTTTTTCTCCTTCTTAGTAGCTGGTGCAGTGCTGTGTTTTTGACTTTCAGCCTGGGAACAGCGCTGATAACACTGATGTTTTTAGTTACTGCTCAGTAATGTTTAGTCTGACCAAGGACTTTCTGAGTCTCATGCTCTGCCAGGAGGAGGGGAAGCTGGGAGGAAGCAGAAACAGCACACCTGACCCAAACTGACCAAAGAGGTATTCCATACCACAGCATGTCATGGCCAGCATGTAGAACTGGGGGCAGTTACCTGGAAGGTTTAGAGCCCTGCTCGGTTGGGCTGGGTATCAATTGGCGGGTGGTGAGTGGTTGTATTCTCTTCCCTTGTTATTTCCCTTATCATTATTATTATTGGTGGTAGCTGCAGTGGTTTGTGTCATACCTTAGTTACTGGGCTGTTCTTATCTCAACCTGTGGGAGTTACATTCTTTCGATTCTCCTCCCCATCCCTCCGGGAGTGGGGGGAGAAAGGGGGGGAGTGAGTGAACGGCTTCATGGTACTGAATTACCAGCTGGGCTTAACCCTCAACAGTTCTTTTACTGGGCTGGTGTAGCTGCTATGCTTGGAGCTGGAGTAGCTACACTGTCTGATCCAGGGACATTTTTTTCCTTTTGAAGGTTCTGGAAAGTCTTGAACAAGGCCCTGTAAGCATAGGCCAAGCCCCAGCACGTGGCCATGATTTGTCCCTCTCTGGTATGACCATGACAACACACCTCATTTAAGTGTTTTACTAATTTTTCTGGATTTTGCACTTGTTCAGTGGTGAAGTTCCAGGCCACTGGCCTAGATACTTGCCCATACTATCCCATACACCCTGCCATTCATGGCTGTCCAGCCTCAGGGAAAATCTCCTGGTCCTCTTATGTGGTCGTTTAACCCCAAACAAGTCCCAAACCAGACTCTGCTTAACTCTTGAGATCAGATGAAATGGT